ATAAATTAAAAAGATTATCTAAGTTCTCTCATAAGAGTAAAATAAATCAATTTGTTAGCAAATATATTCATCTATTATTAAGAAATCGAACTTGAAAAATTTCTATATGAACTTATACATATTTCTTTTTCCAGCTTTTTATCCTACTTGAAGATTCCCACATTGAAATAACGATATTTTTTGAAGCGACATAGAGCATTTTTTTAATCAATAAAAAGTAAACGTGCTTATTAATATAATTAGAAATTTAACTTTTAATTTTTCAGATAGTCAATTGTATATTTTATGCTTTGGTACAACGTTAACAAGTATTGTAATTCTTCTAAATTATTTTCAACAAAGAAAAAGAAAAAAACAAGAAGAGAAACGTGTATGTTTATTTATTTAATTATTCATTGGTTCTCATTGTTGATATAGAAAAACGAATATTTAAAATGTAAAACATTATTTGATTTCAGAATTAGCTAAGAAATCAATGATGTGACATCGTTTTTATTATTATGACTACAAAGCTGGTCAAGGACATATATATCAAGCATGTAGACATTATTTTAATAAACAATTAAGAATTGTGCCAAGAGTTTTGATGGATGTTAGTGAAATTTCATTAAAAACAACTATATTTGGGTGAGAAATTATTGAAATGTAAAAAGCTACGATACTCCTATAGAGACAGATTTTACCCATTGAGAAGATTTTTTCTAGTTTTTGCTTCGTCACTATGAACTCAAAATGCATTTGTCAACATTTATTATAGGTCGATATATGAATTACCAATCCTAATTGCCACATCTGCTTGCCATTGTCTTGCTCATGTTGATGGTGAAGTTGCCACAGCTCGTGCTGCAACTGAAACTCAATGTATTTTTACTTACAATTCGACGTTTTCAAATATGCCAGAAGAAAAAGTTCTACAAACACTCGGTATATCCTTTTTTTTCTTTTCTATCTCATTTTCTTTTCAATGTACTTAATAATCTTAGGTACAAAATTTTTACATATTTATTTAACAACATCTATAGAAAAATAGTTCCACAAGCTGATAAAACAGGATATCGAGCAATTGTTATTACATGTGATCAACCACATGAGCGTATTCGAGATTTTGTATTACCATTATTTGAAGAAGCATCAAAGAATATTGATCCAGAATTAATCAAGAATATGTCAATACCAAATTTGAACATACCTTGCATAATTGTTAAGCAACGTTTTGGTATCGGTTCAGTAACATAGGCAAATATTGAATGATTAAGAAAATTGATACAATTACCAATTATTTGCAAAGGTATACTCTCACCAATTGATGCAGAATTAGTAATTAAATATGGAGCGAATGGAATTATTGTCAGGTCTGCTTTGTATATAATCAGTTAACTGAATATATCTTTTGCTACTATTCGTTTTAGTAACCATGGTAGTCGACTAATTGATACAGCGCCACCAGCTATTCAATGTCTAGAAGATGTCGTCAATGCTGTAGATGGACGTGCAGAAGGTAAGTTTGTTTTAATGACAATTGAAAAAAATCTAACAGATTTTTAAACTGTCTTCTGAAGATATCAAATCTTAGGCAGAATAAAGTTTTTTAAAACATCTCGACATAGTTAAGATGAGAAAAGTTATCTATCTGCTTCTTTTTTAAAAAGCCGTTGATTTGGGTTAAACTCTGTATATTGTTAGAGTAGCTCAAGCTCGCTAAATCTTCTAATTTGACCAGAACACTTCTGACCGAAAATCTCCTCATTTCAGGAGTTGATTTTTGTTTTTTTAATATTTGGCTGTTAGCAATATTTTGAACTAATAAAAGAATTCAAAGAAAAAGAGAACTATCGCAGTGTCTCAAAGATATAACAACCAACAAAAACACATTGCTTTTACATCCTTTTACTCAAACTAAAGTCATTAATTACAATTATATTAACTAATCTTATATAAAGTATTTGTTTAAACAGAGATAATAAGAAAATAATATTATATGTGTAATGTTTTGACGTACAAGGGTGGGATTATTATTGAAGTATCAAACTCATTAGATAAAAATCTTATGACAAAACTGAATGGCAAATCGATAAACGATGGTATTTCTATTTCATCAAAAAGGACTGCAAAATTAAAATTTACCATTTCATCATCACTAACAACAAATAAACGATATACCGAACATGCCAAAATAGTTTATTTTGCGAATATCTTTGCACAGAAAAATAATAAAATCTTGATCTTTTATTTTTCTTTTTAAAGATGCACCATGAGAAGCTCTGCAAAACTTACATTAACAAATCAATACTGGCATGTTCAAATGGTTTTTCCCATACGACAAATGTATAATCTACATAATAGTGCTACTTTTCACCATGTGGTACGTAATGAAAATGTATGGAAGATTTTTTTGTTTCGCACTAAAGATTTGTTCATACAGCTTTTATAGAGCTTTCGGTGATTCATCGTTAAAAAAAGCAAGATGTTATCGTTTTCTTTAGCCTAGACATACGCAAAATAATTTTTTTAAAAATCTTTCAAACATTTTTATTATACTCAACACGATGGGAAGTAGTACTATCATGTAAGTTGTACATTTTAAGTATGAGAAAAACCATCAGAGCGTGTCAGTAGAGATTGCTGCTTATACAATATTTGCGAAGTATTTCGCGGCGCCTTTTTTTAAAAAAAGATCAAGATTCTATCATTCACCTATGCTGAGATAAAAAATGTTGTAAATATTTTGGCACAGTCGATATAATTCAAATTTAAGAAAATTTTTTCACCATCAACTTGATATGTAAAAGAGAAAAGTGTACATAGGAATGAAACTTCGAATTTTTCTTACGAAAATCACCAAACGATTCTTTATTTATTTAGTATTTGTTGATACTGGTATTCGAAGTGGAACTGATGTGTTAAAAGCATTAGCATTAGGTGCACGAGCTGTTTTGATCAGTCGACCAATTTTATATGGATTGGCTTGTGGTGGACAAGATGGTGTTCGAAGAGTATTAGATATATTAAAACGTGAATTAGTTTATGATATGGCTTGTTGTGGATTAACATCGATTGATCAAATTAATAAAGATATTCTTTATAAACATTAATAGAAATAAAAGTGAAAGATAGGCATTTGAATTGAGTTTTCTTTATTTTATTCTTTTATTCCTTTTATGACGTTTTCACTTATTAAACAATTATTTGGGCGTGGATATGAAAAAGAAAATGCTTACGCCTAATTACATTCTCACACCCACGCCCCACTCCTTGTCGGTTCCTCTTTGCATCACTGCCTTGCCTAGAAAATATTTTTAAAAGAACCAAGTTAAAATTAAATCAAATACTATTTTTATTAAAGCATCAAGAAATAGCAAGTAGGATAATAACCACATGTCTATCTAACATTAGAAAACATATTCGAATCAGAATAGGAATTGTGAACATGATATGAGTTCTAGAAAAATTTCTACTAATTTTGTTTTTGTTGTATAATATGATAAAAGATAAAAAACAAATCTAATATGGTTTTTATCATGGGGAATTGAATTATTTGTACTATTGATACTTGTTGTTGAATAATTTCAACACATACTACTTTTACTGGTGTGACAAGAAACGACCTCGATTTAGGTTTATTGATAATGGAGGATGTGAAGTTCGCCAACCGTTGTACTCATTGTTGATGAGCACTCGTCTATTTTATTTCAATTCATTTTTAAAAGATAAAGAAAATAGCCAAACAAACCTGTAAACTTGCTCGATCGAGGTCATTCGATTTTGCTCAATTTAATATGTGTTGTAGGAGTGGGAGTTTCAAGAATTTTGATGCAAGTTGTTTGAAAAAAAATTGTTCTTCCATTCTTGAGATATTGAAATTTTTCGCAGGATACTATTCTGTAGTATTGAGAAAAAAATGAGCTTAAATAAATTGCACTATTGATTCACAAAATCGATATGATAAAACTCTTTGAATAATTTCTAAGCGAGCTTAGGTCAATTTCTTATGGAAAAGGGTTCATTGTTGAAGATTTTTCAATAAGTCTCCTAAAACCATTCTTTGAGATCGTACGTCAACTTTTTTTCATAACTCTGTAGTACTCAGTAGGTACTTTAAACCTACATGAGACTGACTTCTATAAATTTGATTTTGCTCTGGATCGGACTCTCTCGAGATCGCGATTTTAATCTAAATGAAGTTTTTGATGAAAGTCTCCTGAACGGTAGAAACTATCTAGAGAGCTGAATTTTTTAGAGGAATGAGAACTTATTGTGGCCAAAATTCTAGCTCTCTGGTTTTATCCGTTCATGAAATATGCAATGGCACAAAATATTTAAAAAATAACAATTTTGTCATGTACTTAGTAGTATTGATCAATTCATCATACAGTAAAAATCTCAAGTAAAAGACATGTATACTTGATGAGACATAGAAAATCACAAAAAATGCACGTTTTTTTTGGCGATGGTGACCTGAGAAAAATTTAAATATCTCGAGAACAGAACAATATTTTTTCAAACGCTTTGCGTCGAAATTGTAAGAACTCTTGCCTCGACAACATATATAAAATTAAGCAAACTCTGACGATGTCGATTGTGCAGAGTAGGTTGTGACTTATGTGGAATAGATCATATATATTATTGATAAATAAATGTTAGGATATAATATGTCGAATAAAATAATAACGGAGAATAAAGAAAATTGTTTTTAGTGAATAGTAATGTAAAAAGAGAAAAGAAATATAATAAAGAACATTTATTGGAATATATTATTGTTAAGACGGATTATTGTTGAATGAAGATAAATTCTGATTCGAAACAGCGATTTATTTTGTTTTTTTTTGTCGAATTTCATTGAAAATTTGATAATTAAATAATTGATCATATAAATATGTTTTG